TGTGAGGAATTCATGGTGTTTACAGCACAGAAGGTACTTTGTGCCCCAGATCAAAGTTAGCTGAAAAATGATTAATCAGCTCTTCAGTAAAGGTTTATTTGCACATTATTAATAAACCAGCCTGTACAAAATAGCAGATGCCAGATCCTGAAGAATTACACACTGCATTCTTTCTATTTTGGTCAGGAAATATTTGTCATAGGTTAAAGAACACAAGACTTGCAATTGAAAATCCTGCTGGTACTTATCTGCCTGTGATACACTGTATTCTAAAGGTGATGTTCAATCTGTCTGAATACTTCAGGCTGCTGGAATAAAGCACCCAATACTTTGAGATCAAACTTGGGTTTGGGCAGCTGAATGATTCTGTGACACAACTGTGTGACTGAGCAGGGTGTTCTGTGTACTGGTCAGAGGCTGGTACAGTGCATTTGAGTTTTTATGGTATAACTTCATCACAATTCAGAGATGCAGCCAAGCACTTCAGCTGAATTATGGTAATTGATAAAGGAAAATTTGCTATTAACTTTACCATGAGAGTTTGAAACTACTTCATTTTAAGCTGTTCTTAGCTCATGGCAGCCACATCCATATTGTCAATTACCACAGTTCACTCGATGTGTGATAACATGCTAAGCTGTGGTAGAACAATCATATGTCTGAATCCTTATTTAAAATAAAGCAGCATTTGCAAGGGGTGGGTGGAGAAAAACTCATCTTGATTGCATTGCTCAATCTGGTGTCTTCTTTCCCTACAGTTTATAAAGACAACAGTAAGAACCAAACTGTTGATCTTAGATGAGGAACCAATATTTTATCTGGCATTTTTCAATATGTTCTTGCACTAAATCTTCAGGATAATTTAAAATAAGCTAAGAGATCTCCAGCAATCAGTGTGCACCACTAATGAGCAAAACTAAGTCAAAGGCATCAGAGATACTTTTCCTTCCTTCCTAGTGATTTACAGTGCTGTGAGGGGAGCTCATCACATGTGCAAGGGGGTAAGAAAGTTACTGTCAGTTACCGTCAGCTGAAAAAAAAGCCAGGTATTACTTTTGTGCATGTCAGTGGACAGTTTGACAAAACTGAGAACTAGGAAAGATGAGCAGAAGCGTTGCTGCTATCAGCTGTATAACAAATGACTCCAAACAATACCAGTAACTTCATGGCTTTTCTATCCTGATGCCTTTGCCATTGCATTATTTCAGTTTTCTGTTCCTGTGTACTTCTGGTGAAATTCTAGAAGCATTTGTTTTTGCTGGAATTACAGAAAAGATAGCAACTGAAGTGACAGTCAGCAAATGAGAGTAGGGGTGTCATGCAAAAATACAATTGTGCCATTTTTAGACAGAATAGATGCTACTTTCAAAGGAGGAGGTGCAAATATGCATTCAGTCCAAAAATGCCCTGAACTGCAATAACCTTACATGGAGACTTGCAAATCTTAGTCCCAGCTTCACCAGAGGAAGAGAAGGAGGGCTGCCACCACAGCAAGATACTCATTGGAAGAGTGAGTGAGCACCATTAAATTGAAAAATAAGTCCTTTGTACCAATGAATTTACTCGTTTTTATAATTACTCTCATTTGTTGCTTGTACAAACAAACAAAGAAAACCCCACACCCTTCTGTTGTATTCTTTTACTTGTAAATGCCCATACTCAGACATTAATAGTAAAGACTTGACATGGTGCTTGAAGATTTCTAGTTTGTTAGAATGTAATTGTATTTAAATATTGGAAGATCCATTTTCCTTCTGAAAGCAGGTGATGCCATTCGAACCCCAACTGAATTGTAGATTATACCAAAAAGATTGGTTTATGGAATATTTATTGAATGCACATAAAACCCTAATGTCAGCTGGCAACAAAATGCACTGTATTGTATAAAACTTGTGTGTGTGTGAGTGAGAGAGAGAGAGAATGTTGGGATGCTGATGCTGTTGTATTGAGTTAATGCACTACTTGTGTTTTCTTTTTTCCTTAAGACTGAGCTTTCCCTCAACCATGCTACTAGATTGGTAGAGTTTGTAACTGACTTGGACATTCAGTTATTCAAAATGATCTCACTGTTCATTGAAATTTTATAAAGCTTATTTTATATTTACTGTGCTATTAAGATGAATTCCCTTTAATTATAGGATACTACTGTAGTTCTTTAAAAGTTTATTTAGAGTGGGACTTGTGGAAAATTGTTCAGAACATAGTAAACCAAAAGAAATCCTGAACTTTGGATCTACTTTTAATTTGATGTAATTATTAGTCTTGTTTGGGTGAAGAGGAAGGGGGTGGGAAAGGAAAATGAAAGGAAGTACATTTACATTTGTAAAATGTAGTCTTAGATTGAATTGTGTATCTGTGTGTCTGTGGTATGTGTGTGTTTCCCTTGAAAAATGGGAGGTGTGGTGAAAAGGTGTAATAATTCTTAAAAGAGCTGGTCTCAGTACTTTCTGATTATGATATGCTACTGAATCATGTTTGTTTTTATTTTTAAACCCAGCTTTTCTCTCAGTTACTTTATCTCTCCCAGCTATACATCTCTCACTTCAATTTCTGAACACTTTTTCAATTTCTAAATACTTCTAGGTTTAATATTGATTGTAAAATCCCTTGAAACTGAAATAGAAATACTTGAGTTGAAATGGGGACAAAATAAAAACAATAAAGAATGTTTTAAAAAAGAATGTGAGAATATTAAATATATTAAAAACAAGCTTATCATCAGGATGATAGTTCTTTTAAAACCCAGTGGTGTACCCTAGAATGTGAACATGACTATCCTGATGAGAAGTGGATGGTTGGACATAAAGAATTCAACAGCCAATTTGGTAGCACAGAATTGATGTGCATACTGCAGTGACTCCAAATCCCCCAAGGAAGGAGGACATGCACAGATATCACATCTCACAGTCAGTACTGTCTCTGTGTGCAGCTGCATTTGTTTTCGTTTCAAAAAGTCAATCTTACATGAACCCAGACATGACTGAGTTTTGCCACATTTCTTCAGTTGGGGCTTTCATTGCTGTATATGTCCATAAATGCAAATATTTTTCTTGGAATAATCAGAAATCAATGGAGTTAATGCAATATTATAATCCTGGATTTCCAGTATCTTTGAAACCAATTTTAAAAAACTGTGTTCTTGAAACTTAATTATTTATGGTGGCACCAGTGTATCTAATCCATACTTCCTGCTGTGTGAAACCCTGTTAAATTTTTTCATTAAAAAAAGAAGACACGATCTTGTTTAATCCTGTATATATGGTGTCTACATTCTAGATTTGTGTATGCTGTGAATGAACTTATTACTAAGAGATGAAATTGTATAAAAGCATTCAGAGGCTATGCATGCATGGTACCTCCAGAAAGTGCATACTCCAAGTTGCAGATTCCTGCAAAAATAAATTAATAAAACTAAGCAAACATCACATCCTGCATTTGTTCTTGTATGTAGTAGGAAACATTTTTAAAGTACAGCCTTCTTAGGCCATAGCCTGATTGTTTCTGGTCTCCCACTTGGGTTTTTAAAGTACAGCCTTCTTAGGCCTTCATAGCCTGATTGTTTCTGGTCTCCCACTTGGACCTGTAGCTGTAGCAAGTTTGTTTCAGGGCTTTTGGGGTTTTTGTTTTGGTGGTCATTAGGCACTTGCTGAGTATTGAACTGGGTCCAAATCCTGTTCCCCTGAATGTGAATGAGCAGGAATCCCATTTAGATGATGGATATTCTGTGCAGTTTCTGGTGTGCAAACAGGATGTAGCATGTTCGGGGTGTGAGGTTGGCCTCAGCACTCCTCCCTTACCTGTGACAGAAGGTTGTTACCAGAGCAGCCTTGCCTGCTGTAGCCTGGGTGATGGGCTGCAGCGCAGCAGTCCCTCTGCTGCTGTAACCTCTTGGACAGGCACTGCTCTGGGAGAGGGGGGAGAGGTGGAAGTGCACAAATGTGAGTGCAGGCACTTGCTAGGGCTGTGTTTCCATGGCCTCCATGGCATCAGCTCTCCACAGCTGAGGAGCTCCGGAGCCCTGCCAGGTTCTGGTCACACACACTGAAGTTCCTTCAGCGCCTTCCTGCTCAAACCTGCTGCACTCCAGTCAGGAAACACAGGTAAGAATTTCATTCTGCATTCCTTTTGCTAAGCTGACTTTATCGCAGTTTCAGGAGCCATTTGTATTTTAATTAAGCATTTGATTTTATTTTTTTTTCACTTTAGAAATCATTGCAATTGAAACAGATTGAAAAAAAAAGCAAACAAACAAACCCACCAACTTATTTTTTTTTTTCACTTTAGAAATAATTGCAATTGAAACAGATTTAAAAAAAAAAGCAAACAAACAAACCCACCAACTTATCAAAGTTGAGATGCCTGTAAAGTATATTGTACTAATGGAGACCATGCAGAGCCAAAAGACAAAGTCTAACAAGTGGTCACCATTTTTTGATGTTTTCCTGAAGTCATGAGGAGGCAGATCTGCTTGAATTACAGAAAACTGGTTGATTAATTCTTCAGAATAACTTTGTTTTGGCAGCAGTGAACCATGTCTTAAACCTGTGGCTCTTTGAGAGATAGTTTGTCCTCTGGTCTGGTAAATATTCCTGGAATGTGCTGCTGCCTCTAGTGAGGATAGTCCATGCTGTGATGGGTAGGTGTTATGTGTTCTTTATTGCACCATCTCTGGTTGTATGTGCACTTTTTTGAAGGAGGTGGTTGATACCTGGTTTTGTCTGAACAACTGGACTCAAAGTGTAACTTTGAGTTACTCAGTGGGCCACCTGAATTTTTATGGAAACCTTGTGAAGTTGTTAAAGAAGGGGCTTTATTAATTTTATCTGGAGGGTCTGTGATTATGGCATGTTCTAGTGTGACAGCAGAGCCAGGCCAGACCTGCAAAAGCCTTTTTCAGGGGCACCACTCTACTTCAGAAAATATTCTGTTTCTCTAGAAAACAGTAATGTATAGAGTTATGAGTTAAACAAAAACAAAAAAAAAAAAAAAAACCAAAAAACTCTGCAGGTAATTTTCCAGATAGGCAAGACTTATAACCTTGCACATATTTGCTGCTTTTGCAAGCTCCATTTTGAAAATACAGATTCATTGTTCCTTCTTGAAGTTAACAAAATGTCTCTTGCCAGGTTAGCTTAAAAATTAAGTCAACATGGTTCCATTACTGCTTTAGAAACTAAGCCACAAAGCCTGGGAATTAAAGATGTGCAATGCAGGTGCTGCTTTGCTTTTGACTAAAGACTTCTTATTTATTTTAGAAGAATTTTAGGAAAAAAAGTTTAGGGAAAATATGGAATACTTCAGGAAAAAAGCTGCTGGGTGGGGCAAGTTTTCATGGATTTGAATGTGGTATTCTGATTCCAGACTGTTGCAGCCCAACAGTGATGGCTTGTGCAAGACTGGTTCAGGAAATTATTACTCCCTACTTTTGAGCCATTCAGTTAAATCCAATGATTTTGCAAGATGGAAGTTGCTTTTGGCAGTACCCTGTGTGCTGGGGAGTGCCTGGTGTGACTGCCCACTGTCAGTTCCACGTGGAGGAGCCCCCTGAGCCCCCAGGAATGGGGAGAGTGACACAAGCACACTTTCCAGGTGGGTGATGGGAGTAAGCAGAGTCTGAGAAGACTTTGTAGAGAAGAACTTGTGCTTTATGGGAGCTGGTGAATCCCTCCCTCTAATTAAGTTTCTGTATGTGCCTTGCTTTGCTTCATGGTGAGATCTGTGGTGGTGGAGAGCCTTGGGTGACTTTCATCACCACAGATCCTGAAGCCTCATGGCTTGGTTGCTGTTCCAGGTAACTGATTTTGCATTTCCCCCAGCCTCCCTTTGTCTCAAAACTGATTGTTCATAAACCAGACATCTTTTATCTTTTTTGATGCCGGGCATCCTCGCTGGCTGTGATTGTGTGCTCCCAAATGTGCAGGATCCGCTGTGAGGGTCATCCCATGGCAGCGCAGCAATAGCAGGGAGTTACACTAAATATGGCTACATTATTTCAGTATTCTGCATGGGACTGAATAATCTGTGCACCAAGGAGGGAAATGCAGATGTTTTCATGAGCTATAAAAACTACCAAGTGTGTGGAATTCCCACGTGGTGGTGCCTGGCTTTAAAAATGAAAGGGAGTTGATTGCAGCAATGAATGCAGAGTGTGTAAATGTTTCCCAGTAGTTTTCAAAGCTGTTCCTTAAAACTGGAAGTGAAAGATAAACACTTTGCTCTTTTTCCAGCTCACAAATTCTACTGGCATCACATTTGTTCTAGAAAGGAAACCGTTTTGAAAGAAATTCTCTGCCCTGACAAATGAGGGAACCTTTTCCATATCCAGAGGAATAACTTACTGATTCCCAGATACTAATTCTGTCTTGTCTGGGTTTTTGTAGCTTCTGCAGAAGTTCAGATTGTTGTAAGCTCATGTACTTTTTCAGCTATCACATTTTTCCACCTGCCTTTGCCAGTTGCAGGCAAAGGCCTCTCCAGGCTCCTGTGGGTCACTGCCCTGTGACAGACACACACACGCACGTGTGTCACCTAGATGTGTGTGATTCACCTGTCATTTGCTTATGGGAAGAGTAGTCAACACCTGTGGAAGAGGTCAACACTTGTGCTGTGCCATTAGGATTCAGAAATCCCAGCACACTCTGCCATGGGCTCTTCTCATGGTCCTGGTCACTTCTCAGAGCATTTGCTTCTCTGTCTCTGATTTTGGGGCAGCCAATCTGAACTACTCCTTTTGAAACTGTGCAGATTTAAGAGTTTAGTGACAGAATTTGTGAAGAACTACAGCCAGTTGCTATTTTTATTGATAATATTCAGTATTGAGGTGTGAGAAGAGTAAGGTGATAGTGAGGAACATCAAAAGAAAGATGTGTTGGTACTTTGGTGTAGTTATTAACATTAAATATTGTGTTCAAGACATTGGGATTAACTTCTGCTGGTAGAGGTTATCTTTCCAGGTGGGTCTTATGAAAGCAGAGTAGAGGGAGACAATCAATTCCCTGGACCAGCTGGCCTCTCTTTGATACAGCCCAGGACACCATTTGTTTTCTGGGCTACAAGTGCCCATGGCCAGCTCAAGGCCAGCCTCTGGTCCAGCAGCTCTCCCAAGTCCTTTTCTGCAGCGCTGCTCTCAGTGAGCTCTTCCCCCAGCCTGTACTGCTGCCTGGGATTGTCCAGGCCAGGTGCAGCACCAGCCCTTGGTCTTGTTAAACTGCATGAGATTCCTGTGGTCCCACTGCTCAAGCTTGTCCAGGTCCCTCCTGTCCTTCAGGTTTGTCACCTGCATCACTCAGCCTGGTGTCATCTGCAACATGCTGGGGGGACACTTGATCACCAAGTTTGCCATTATTGTCACAGAGCCCTTATTGCCCTAGTCCCAAAAGCCGTGAAAAACAGATAAAATATAAGTTATACTTTCATTATTTTGTAATAAAGAAATGGTGATTAAACAGCCTAGTTTTCTGTCTGTTTTCCTCTTTTCTTTCCTACTCAAGGGCATGCACAGCACAATGCAGTTCGTTAGCTCAGGGATGATTCTCAGGAATGTGCCAACATAAACATCCTACCACATAGTATGTTCAGTTTGCCACCATTTCAAATATCAGGAATTAAAAGTCTGTAGCAGATTAAGCCCCTTCTTGTGCTGTAGGAAGAGATGGAATCTAGATTAAGGCCCTAAATGTCACACCTTCACTGAAAAAAACTTTTCACTTTTTTTATTTTTCCTTATTTCTTGATTTTTTTATTTTTTTTTTTTAGGTAAGGCTGCCAGATGTGCTGCACTAATTCTGAAAGGTGCACTAGTAGCAGTAAATCTATATGATTTGGTTTTGCTCATCAGCTTTGACAGGAGAAGGTGCTGATAAAATCTAAAACTCCTTCAAGACAAATTTCATCTTCAGGTCACATTTATTCCCACAATGCAATAGTTCAGAATTTCTAACAGGTTAATCCCAAAGCCCTTTTCTAAAATTTCAGACATTCCCTACAAAGAGCAACAATATTACTTGAGTGCTGAAACAGTGCCCTGTTCCTCCCAGGAGGAGAAATGGGAAGAGTAAGAGGTAAGATCTCCAGCTCTATGGCCATGGGAGCAGTTAAAATCTGCTCTGCATCCACCACTTTTATCATCCCTGACAGATTTTGAAAGCAAAACCAATATGAATGAGTCTCAGTTTACATCGGTGTCATGCACGGGCCTCTCCAAGGTAATTTGTTCTTTTGTTTCTCACTTTCCAATATACAGAGTTTTGCAATTGCTGTGGTGCTGTTCCACTGCTCTGAATTTAACAGAGCAGTGGAATGTTAAATCACTGAATTTAACAAAGAAAAGTTCCTTACAAAGGGAGTATCCATGACATGAACCACAAGATGGGTACTCATATCTGTTTTGGTTTTCTTTTCATCTGATAAAAAGATATTGACAGTTTCACCTGATCTTTACCTGCCCTGCTAGCAGGATGTTTGGGAGTGTAGATGTGTGTGTACACAAATATGAAATAATCCACTTCAGTGGATTGGAGCTGGTCCCAGAGGGGCTGATCGCTTGCAAACACTGAATTGACCACCTCAGAGCTGAGCAGGTTAAAGCACATTGTTCTGGGCATTGTCCAAAGCCTGTGAAACACTGACAGCCTGGGCCATCCACCACCTCTCCAGGAGGGCTGGGGCAGGTTTTGACCACCCTTTCAGTGAAAGAAAAAGCCTCCTAATACCATGCCTAAATCTCTTCTAGTAGTTTTGAACCACTTCCACTGACACATCAGTGTCCACAGTGAGCTGCAGGACCTAAGAACTATCAGTAAAAGATTTCTTGAATTGGAAAGGTCTTGCAGCTGTCCAGAGATTTACCTGGGCAAAGTAATTTAAAGGAATTGAAGCCCTAGAGATGAACTTAGACAATTGCTCTGCTGCATCCCCTGGGTCCTGAAGGTGTCTAAAACCAATCAGCATTTCTACTTGTGCCCAAACACTTGATCCAAATAAACCAGAATGGCCTGAAAAAAATTGGTGAAGGGTGGTGTGAGTGTCTAGTGAAACCTGATCATTGCAGTGTTTGTGTAACAGCCTGAAAGTCAGGGAAAGGAGGATACAGCAACTGCTCTTAACTTCTTGTTCAGTTCTATACTGCAGAGAAACCAACTTTTTGCCTTCTGGGAACTGACTTCTGGTGCTTATAGTGTGTATATTGTTTGTGTTCTCAGCATCTGAGACTGCAGTGGGCATTAATCTGTGAGCCAGGCCCAGCCACTGCTAAGGCAGTTACCGATATTTGCTTGTAACACCAAAGCTGCCACTCAGCCAAAGCTTTCCATTCTAAATCCTGGCAAAGCCACACATTACAAGGGTAAATTTCTGGGATATGACAAAGTGCACCTCGATAATGTCATGGAATAAATTTAGATTCAGAGATAGGCATCATGTCTGTAGGTATGAGGCTGTCAAGGTGATGTCTTGTCTTTCTGGGGGCTTAGTGGTCAGTTTTACTGAATTTCATGAAGATCCACATGCATGGCCCCTGTGCAGAGCAAACCTGCTGATATCATCAGTCCTTTGCTAGAGGCAGTAAAATTACCAGTACAAAAATGCTGAGCACCCTTCTCTGGAGGTCAGCCCTGCTGCTGTGTCACTTGTTAAAGCTGAGATAAGCCATAAGCCAAAGGAACGCCTGGAAAGCTTTTCTTTCCCTCTCTCCCGAGCAGACTCATCACACATTTCCATTAATCCTGAGCTGGGATAATGAAGTACTTTCCTGACAGAACAAAGGAAGGAAGCTATTTTTGAGCAGTTCAGCAGTTGCCCTCCAAGAGGACAGCATCAAAGCCAACACATTCCCACGATGTCCTCTGCCAGCAGCAGTGCTGCTGCTGCTCCCCTGGAAGGGGTGAACCACAGGAACAAACCCTGCTCTGGCCCAGTGTCACTCACCAGGAGCTGAGCCCAAACCTGCCACAATCCTGGTGTGACTCCAGCCATGGCATAGGGCACCCTGTCAGAAAACACCATCACTGCTTTCCTGATCAGTCCTATGCACCAAAATTAATTCTGTACAGTCTTCATCTCAGTGCAAGCTCTTGGGCAGCTGCTGGAGGAAATCATTGGGAACAAGTCATAGTTCATGATTAAAAACACCTGCATCAACTTCTTTTAGAAGTTGATGCAGGTGTTTTTAGGTGCTATTAGAAAAATCCACTAACGACTGCCAATATATTGTGAATTAACTACTTTATAGAATTACAGAATCATAGAATATCCTGATTTGGAAGGGACTTACAAGGGTCATCCAAGGCCAGTTCCTTATGATTTACATATGTTAACTGGTTAAAGAAAAGGTTCAGTACACATAATACAAGCCTTGAAAATAAAGGAAATCAGCCTTTCCTACATCAAAACTAGAAACGAAAAAATTACCATTATTAATGTACTGAGGTAAAAGAAAACACGACCCCCCTCTGTGGACAGATAAAATATGCCTAGCTGGTCATTACCATTTATCGTGAAATTAAAATAGGTAAATGCAAAGTCTTAATAAATACAGAAAAGCAAGGTAAAAGATGTTTGCCTTCAGTCCATTCAAATTGAATTATCCCCCACACTGGATATGCATCAACTCAGCCAAAACCAGCTGTGAAATTGCTAGGACTGAGCCTGTGTAGAGCAGCCCCAATTTAACTATTATTTTATTAGCGCATGAGTTTATACTCACAAGAAATCTTGTCTTCACTGTCAAGCCCGTAATGACATTTTTCACACTGAAGCAGAGCCTCCTGCACAAAACTGATTTCATTAAAATTTTTAGGGTAAGGTACAAGGAGAAGATTTCAAAACCAAGCTACAAAGGAAAACAAAAAATCTGCCTCCCTCCAAAACTTCTGCAAGAATCCCGTTTGTCACAGGCATGCCCTCTCTATTACTGCCCCAAATTAGAGCCTTGGGGTAAATAAAACAGCAGTCTCACAGGTTTTAACAGTATTTTGTCTCATGTTATCTGAAGGTATCTGAATTCAGGATACTCATGTAATTCTGCCTGAAACAACTTAGAACACAAGCAAAACATTTACTGAGAGCTGCCTAGTGCTGATTTGGATGTGTGACAACTCCTAAGGTTCTTTACAGGAATATTTATGAGAATGCAAGGTGCAGAGTGGCCAGCAGTCAATGTTCTGTGTGCATTCCTGGAATATCTGAACTGCAGCACTTACAGAGATTACAACACAGAGTAAAAGGGTATTAGCCTGGAACACACAGGTCTCTTTATTTATAGAAGCCAATTTTATTTAGCAGGAAAATATGGAATAAATCAGCTTTAATATTAATGCAAGTTCTGATTTTCAGCACTAAAGCACATTTTCAATAATGGAAAATTAAGGGAAGAGTATTAATGGAAAAAGTCTTTTTGTTTCATCTGCTCAGTTCTCTTTTCAATGACAAAAATAGGTTTTGTCCACATCTACAGATTTCAGTGCTTCCTTTTCATTCTATTTGTTACTTGCTTTGACAGCTTGCACTGTGTACATTAAGAAAGGCAGCAAAAGTTGGTGCCAAAACACAGAGGTTACTTCATCTTGTAAACACAATGACAAGACATTTAGAGCAAGGGTGAATGTCATCAATGGAAATAGCAAATACCTACAAGTCCATTTATTCCCCCTTTCATCCTGACAGGAATAATTACTGTTTAAAGCTCTCTACCTGAAGACCTATAATCTTCAGAAGAAATCAACAGAATAATCACATCTTTCAAAACTGGAAGAAATTAAACTGTACAACCTAAATTTTCCCCACTTTGTCTGGCAAAACCTGTCAATAATATAAGAGGAAGCAGTTGTCTGATTAAAAGAGCAAAAGAAGCTGTTTTTTCACAAAGAGAAAATATCTTCAGAGCAGATGCTAGGTAAATTACAGACATTAGACACTGGAAGAATATAAAAGATGCTAGGGTTGAGTTTCAGGTTCACTGTAACTCTCTTTTACTGCAGCTCACAGAATTCTTAAAGCAGACACTCATCACCAAGCTCTTGTCAAATAATCCCTATCTGCAGGGAAAATTTAAAAGTATTTTTTTGGAAGAAAGCCTGAATACCATCTCTTTTAACTGGGGCACCAAAACCTGAAATAAAAACAACTGAATAAATTATAGACACCATGCTATTTTTAACATCCCTATCACCTTTTACCTGCAAAAAAAGAAGGACCAATGAGGGCAGGGGTTTTGGGGCATGGGGGTTTTATTTATTTATTTATTTTTCTGATCTTCACAAAGCCCCAAAATAACAAAGGATTACTTTAACCAGTTTAGTCTTGCTCTACTCACAGGAACCAGGTGGAGCCAAGCAGAGTCGGGGGTCTGACCCACTCTGGTGCTGCTCAACCCTTCACAGCACATTCCCCTTAATCTCATTCACAGAGTCAGCTTTTCCAGGAAATTTATTATGAACTGTCATGGTGTTAATTTATCATTCCCTAAACAATTCCTGGTTTTTACCACAACACAATCATTTGATCTCTGTTGAGGGAAAGGGTTATCTGGAGCAGTTTGTCATGATCTTGGGAGGCTATTAGAGGAAAAACTGAAAAGTTGTAAAGCATAAGGAGACAGAAGGCTTAACTTGGAGATTTCCTTGTTCTTTATGTCCTACTGTATGTTTGATATTCGAAGAAAATATTGTCTTCCTCATGAAGCAATAGAAGAAAATAAAAGGGCTAAGAAAAAGTACTCATAAAGCAGAGAAGGCACTGAAGTGAGGTACTGAAAAAGAGACAGAGTTGTTTGGTTTTTTCCAAGCACTTAAGTTTAGACTGTAATTAAACAGAAGGCAGGCTGGCAAGCTAATAAAGAGAAGTTGTAAAATAAACATTGCACAACGGGCATTTTGGCTACTGCTGCTACAACAGGGCTGCACATTGTCCTTTGGCAGGAGGATCCATGTGGGAAACCCAGGAGTGAACAGCCCAAGCCCTGAAAACCCTCACACAAATGCAGAGGTTGTCCAATTTCCTCAGGGGAGGGGGAAATTTTTAACCATTGGGACAGTATTTGTTTTCTTTTACAGAACCTCTGGTTAGTCCAGAGTTTATTTATACAAAGTCCAACATGTAAATGCCATGGGTTTTACATAAAATTGTAATAAAGAGGGTCACAAACCTGCTAATGATGCAATGCTGGGCAATGATTAACTGAAAAGCCAAAGTAAATTAATAAATTATTTGTTAGGCTGGAAAAATAATCTTCTTTTCAAACAGAAAGGATGATGTATGAACCCTCACAGACAGCAACAGAAACATCAGGCTTGTTGTCTGACAGCCAGGACTGTTCTCCCTCGCATACTACGAGGAACTAATGGTTTTCCAAAAATAAATGTTCACTGTGATCTTGAGTGACAAATATGTAGCTTTTGAGGGTGATAAAAGTCCTCAGCTTTTCAGGGCTCTTCTCTTTGATTCAGTAATGACCTGCTTGTGCCTTTCAAAGGATAAATATAGCATAAAAATCAATACCGAGATACAGAAATTTTGGGTACCTTTCCCATTATTGATTAAACTCTTTTCACAAATTGAGGCAATGTAACATTTATTACATTTACATTTTTCAAACTTCTTTTTCTTTTTTTTTTCCCTGAAAAATTCTTACCCCAGTTTTGCCATCCTGTCCTTACATTTACTGGATTCACTTTGCTTCAGGCCCTTTATATTTCAGAGAGCCAGTGATGTGAGATACACACTGAGATTTCCCCTACTTCTATTTGATCTATTTTTACCAGGTCTCCTGGAAGGACTTGAGAGGCTGGTGCTGGATCTGCATATTCATTGTTCTCATTCATCAAGGAGCTCAGACCTCCTGTCCCTCCTGGGGAGAAGGACTAAGCATGCAAATTGTTCAAAGCTGATTTTTTATTCTGGAAACACACACCTACTTCTTTCTCACTAAAGCTGATGATAATGTTAAAATACAGTTAAATTCCTTTTCTGAATGAAGACATTTCCCTGGATCAGAGCTATTATATCCAGCACTTTGTCCTGGGTATTTTTTTTTTTTTTAATTTGCCTGTCCTTAAAGAAAAAAAATGAACTGTGAGGAAAAACTGAAATCCTTTGCTGTCCTCCAGCTAAAAGATGGTAAAAACACAAGATGAAGTACAACAAAAGTAATGACTAGACATCTTTTGATTTACAGATATTTATCTTAAATAATGATTAAATCATAAATAAAATAAACTATTCCTTTATAGGTTTTTTATGAGGTTCTATCAAATGGCATCAATAGTTTTTTTTAGTTGCAAAATCAAATTTCAAATAGAGATGCAACAGCAGATACCAACAAACAGATGCCCTTGCTTTAAACTCCAGCTTCATTCCATAGAAAAGATGCATCTATGTTTCAGTGCTGGAGAAAAGGAGTTTACAAATTGCCAGGAAATCTTTGATGTATCTTGTAGAATTTAAAGTCATGGAATCATAGAATGGTTTAGGTTGGAAAGGGCCTTAAAGGTCACCCACTTCCAGCTCTCCTCTCCTGGGCAGGGATGCCACTCACTGTCCCAGGCTGCTCAGGGCCCCCAAGCCTGGCCTTGGGCACTTCCAGGGATGTGGCACCCACAGCTTCTCTGGGCAACCTGTGCCCGTGCCTCACCATCCTCACAGTGAAGAATTTCTTCCTAACCTCTGCTCTAAATCTGCCTTTTTTCACTTTAAAACCACTGCCCTTTGTCCTGTTGCTCTGCCCCCATATAAAAAGTTCCTCCCTCTCCTTTTGATAAGCCTATTTAAGATACTGGAATGTCACACTGAAATCTCCCTGATCTTTTTCTTCTCCAGGCTGAAAAGCTAATAACTTTCTTCCTCTTAAAATCAAAGTAAAACTCTTCCTGAGTTGCATTTACCAAGAGCACAAGAAGAAAAAATTTCCCTAAGCTTATTAATATAAGAACAGAACTACTGTCCAGTAAATGCAGAATCTGTAGCACTGTTTGAGGCTCGTGCTTGGGCAGGAGCAGGGTAAATCCTCTGTGCACCACTGCTGTGGGAGGTCCATGTCAGGCAGAAAGGTGAGGGATTGACAGCTCCTTCTTCATTTAGGCACCAGACCATCATCATCCTCCCACCAGCAGCCCTCAACTCTGCTTTGCCAAGACACCTGAAGCAAAGGTGGAACGGGTGCACACCCACCCTCACCAGGGACACTCCCAGCCTGCTGAAGATGTGGGATGTCTGGTGATGCCAGGCAGTGGGAAGTGCCACCAGGGTCAGCGACCCCAGCGCTGCACAGAAGCCACACAACAACTCTTGTGCCGGTGGCCATGCACAGGATTTTCTGGGAGCAGAGCTCCTAAAGCCTCCAGTGGATTAATTTATCACTTCTACTTCCACTCTCTGCACTTCATCTTTCGTTTCGGGGTGTAACCAAACTGTGGCTCCTGCCCCCACTGCATTATCCCAGATGACTCCCAGTGGTGTTTCCAGCAGCTGCCCAGAGCTGCAAGCAGAGTGTGAGGTAAGGGAAATGTGGGATGCACACTGAGATAAGGGAAAGGGGCAAACCCTGCTGGAGGGCAGCGTTTCTTTGTCTTCACAAATGGATTCAGCACTGACAGCTACACCCAGCCTAAGGGGCTTCTCTCTGCCAATGGCCCCAGTGGCAGCTGTAACCACCGAGGCCACCAGGGAGTCCGCTGCAGGCAGGGTGTCAGATAAGGGAAATGTGGGATGCACACTGAGATAAGGGAAAGGGGCAAACCCTGCTGGAGGGCAGCGTTTCTTTGTCTTCACAAATGGATTCAGCACTGACAGCTACACCCAGCCTAAGGGGCTTCTCTCTGCCAATGGCCCCAGTGGCAGCTGTAACCACCGAGGCCACCAAGGAGTCCCCAAAATATCCTGAGTCATAGGATTCCACTGTGACATTCCCTGCCCTGGGGGAGATACTGAACCTTTCTGCCTGAAGGAAGGTCCAGTATAATCCACGTGCTTTGGGCACTTGGAACAGCCAGCACTGGACAGGTCCAGAGGAGGACCCAAACTCAAACAGGAGGACCAGTCCTTCCACAGGACCACAGCTTTCACCACGACTCCTTAATTGCACTGTGACCACCACAGAGCTCACCCTGCTCAACAGGGTGCCAGTCTGTACTCTGACTCCGTGGGTTTAAGCCAGTTTTTCTGCATCATTGCATTTATTGTAACTCTATTATATTGTAACGCTGACCTGAAATCTCTGTCAAGGTGTTTGTGTCGGGCCCATTTCTCCCAATGGTTTATTTTCAAACCAGCACACTTAGTTATGGGAAGGAGAAAAAAATGTTTTTGGGCACTGCCAAAGTGCTCTTACTGGGGCAAACATTTCATTAGATCTATTCATGGCCCAGTCAAAACCTAGGCACGTGCCCACATCCCCAAAACTTCCTCACTTATTTCCACTTTCTGTAATTTAGTTATGGGAAGGAGAAAAAAATGTTTCTGGGCACTGCCAAAGTGCTCTTACTACTGAGGAAAATAAGGAGAAAGCATCCTGTCTTGATCTCAGTTCATAGTCTTGGTAACTACTGGGGCAAGCATTTCATTAGATCTACTCATGGCCCAGTCAAAAGCTAGGCACGTGCCCACATCCCCAAAACTTCCTCACTTATTTCCACTTTCTGTAATGAAGCTTCAGTGGTTGAAAATGAGCAGAGAAGTTATTCAGATGTAAATTTTGTTATTCATGAGCAAAGAAGACCTGAGCAAACCCCAAAGACATTTAGGGACTCAATCAACAGCCCACTATAAAATACTTATCCCTAAGGAGTTAAGTGAGCATCACTCGGGTGATTTTAAATGACTATTCAGGGCTTGGAGTAGAAGTGTTCCCCGCAAAAGTTTTTTCTAAGCATCAATTAAATTCTGGGGTTTTAACTGCATTTGGGGTATTTCAGACAAGCTTTGCTCATTAGCCCCATGAGCAGGAAGAGAATGGAGGTTATTTTGAAATCAAAATGATCATGCAAGGAAAAGCACACTGGCTCAACACTTAATCTGGAGCTGATAGCTCATCACAATTAGTAGGTAATAGATCTGTGACAGAATATTAAATAATACAAGTCCCACCATGCAGTCTGGAAAGCACAATAATTGCCAGGTGTTTGTGTATTCATCCACCTACTCACATTTTGATTTTAGAATAATTTGTGAACTTCTTGCTTTCTAATAAAGAACTGCTGTATTCACTTTCCTGTGCCCCCACCACAAAAAAAAAATCAAACTACAAATTTTCAATGATTCATTGTTACAGATCAAATCCCAAAAAGCACAAAGTACCATTTAATTTTATAAGGGAGTAGAAAATAAAAAAAACACCTATTTGACATATTACAACTGTATGAAGCACTATAACTGTAAGATTTTCTTTCAACACTTCACAAAGGGAGGCAATGGAAAAATAATAAACTTCAAGTAGAATAATCCGGACCTACTCACACTACATCACAGAGAAAAAGAAAAGTCATGTAAAGAGAAGATAATCCCTTGATACCCAACAGACTTTCTGTCTGAGAGCTGTCTTCCAAAGTCCAATTAGAGGACAAAAACATGCTGCCAAGTCCAACAACACAAATACTACATGACTTGAAAAATATATTTATCTTCTCCTTGAAAAGAGGTGAAAAGGAGAAATTATAAAATACATACATATACACATAACTATACCTGCAACTGATACCTTTAATCAGAACTCTAAGCACTGAGAAACCAGTATTAAAATAATTAAAGTTAACAAGGGTAATCCTCTTAAGTGGAAAAGTGATCCCTAGGGAAGGAGAAAGTAGAAAAGCAAAACCTCAGTGGCTGAGAAGCCAGTTGTAGTCCCCTGGAGGAAGGGAATAAACCCTTTATCCTGCCTGTGTTCCTTGGATCTGCACCTACCTCATTTGGTAAATGCTCCATCCCTGGGGCACTGGTGAGACCTCATGACTTTCCTCACCAATTAAAGGCTGGCAGTAACAGAGGAGCTGGTGGCAGTGAAGAACATCCACCCCCATCCCTGTGGGATGAGCAATCCATTAATTGAGAATTTTCAACCACAGCTGTATCACTGAAACCTGTTTGGGGCACAGCTGTAAATAATTAAATGCCACAGGCTGTGACTCATTTATTGATCATCCAGGAGTGCCACCAGGGCTTTTTCTAATGCATAAACAAAGGGCAGCAGGGTCTCCTATTGCCAAAGGAATGAGCAGTAGTCAGGAGAAAAGCATCTATCAGGTGGAGGAGTATGGGAGAACAGGGAAGTTCATCTTTAATATAACACTGGGTACAGTAATATCCAGATAACACTGGATCCTGGCCATAGGAGAGAACAAAGAGACACAGGCTGACAATTCTTCTGTTTTGTGACCTTTTCCAGACATATCCTTAACGATGGCATTTTGTCTCTGACTGGAGCTAACCCTGCAAAATCTGGTCTTCAGCTATTGGGCCGCCCCAAAGAAATTCCTCTTTTCTTGACAACAACTCCTTTCTGGGGAGAGCAACAATCAGCAGCTGCTGCAAAAGGCAGAGCCTTTCCCTTGTTTCTCAGAAACCATCAAAATTTCTTTATCTGCAAAGACAAGCACAAAAAAAATAGTAGAGAGAAAGACTAGGCCACATTAAAAAAAAAAAAAAGTTTCTATTTGTCCTTCCTCCTGCCAATGGATCACAGAAAGGAAGATGAACAGATTAAGAGGAAGAAAATGTCCCCTTGGATGTGCAGCACACCGCCTGCCTTGTGCTCCAGCAGTGGCTTTTGGGGCAGGGGCTTTCCAGAGCAGAATGCACAGGGGCTGCAGCCACCATCGTGGAGGCAAGAGTCATTGATGGAAAAGGAGGGAACATAATAAAAAGCCTGTCCTTTTGATATCAAAGTTACAGCTCCACTTGTGGAGGAGTCAGGGGCGTGGCTTTGGGGCAGGGCAAGGGGAGAGCAGGGGCTCTCCAGAGCAGAATGCACAGGGGGCTGCAGCCACCATCGTGGAGGCAAGAGTCATTGATGGAAAAGGAGGGAACATAATAAAAGCCTGTCCTTTTGATATCAAAGTTACAGCTCCACTTGTGGAGGAGTCAGGGGTGAGGGGGTTTGAGCACACGTGATGTAGAAGAGCTTCTCTCGCATTTTTTGCGAGGTGGTTCACACTACAAAAGAAACATAACCCAGAAGAAAAGCACCAGTGCCTTGCTTGACAAGATATAGAAGGAAACCTCCAAAAACCCAGCTTCATTTTGCCAGAAAGCTGTAATTGGGAGTCAGTTAAGTGAGAACAGGGAAAATAAAGCTATAGCTCTGAAAAGGAGGCAGAAAAGAGGAGGAAGTGAAATGGAAGTGCTGAAAGCACCACCTCCACTTTCAAGCCATTAATGATACCCAGCTGTTTTTCACCACTGAGAATATTACTTTCCTCCCTCTGAAAGTTAAGCTAATGCCTTCTATTAAACAGGAAAGAATTTGAAGTGACTAATATCCACTCCTGTGCAGAGAGGTTTTGGCATGGTGTTTTCATCCTCCTTCCTACTCTATCAGCAAAGCAGCAGAGAAAGCCATATTGAGTAGCTTTACACAATTAATACAATTTGTGCACTGGCATTTTCATCAAAATCCTTTTGCCAAGATTTAATTATAAAAGTTGGTGGTTTCCTTTTATGCACTGAAATAATTTTAATTAAAACTTTTGTAGTGCTTTCAGTCCATTTCCTTCACACAATTTATTTGATAAATTTGATAAACCTGAGAAATTGCAGTACTCTGGATTTTTAAATTTGCTTTATTTTTGTCAAAGACCCTGGCAGGTTTCTAAATGCCACCTGGGCAGAGCTGACATGATGTGAATGGCTGAGTGGGAGCTGCCTGTGGCTGCCGTCCTGGCTAAGGACTTGGTCGTTGATCAGACTACACCTATCTGTTTAGGTCCTTCTGTTTGAGAGTGACAGCCCTGAATCCTGGTGTGACCCCAGGTGAATTATTCAGTCCTATTGCAAGCCCAGAGCTTTGCTGCCTTTGAAGGTCCAAAATCATTCCTCAAAGATCCTGAAGTCCTCCCCAAGTACCAGCTTGTGGTGCACACTGGGCACGAGTTTAGGGCCAGCTGCTGGTCCTGCTGCTGTTGGTCTCATTTTGAGTGATTTAAACAGGGTTTGTCCATAGCAGAACAGGGAGAGGAGAGGAGAGGAGAGGAGAGGAGAGGAGAGGATCCAGGATGGTGCCAGGCTGTTTCCTGACAGATGCAGCCACAGGGTGCTGGCACAAAGCCAATGGTGTTTGCCCACCCACTGACAATGGTGTTAAACACTCCTCCATATTCATCCAAAAGGATCTACACAGGGACAAACTGTAATCTCACCACACATCCTCTGCCCAGAAAGACAGCCCAGATTTAATTGGCAGCAAGAATCTTCTTGGGTGATACACGAGGGTAAGAGAGCAAGACTTAGTGTGCTGCCTGTACATGGCTGGCTTTGTGAATGAACAAAGGACTTCTGTTCACCAAACTGCCAAGTGAGTGCCCTTAATTATAAGTGAATTGAGTTTTCTTGAGAAATTAACAGTCAACAAGTGTCTTTTCTTAAATTATAAACAGATGGTACTTTTCAGCAAAAGCAAAATGTGATTAAGAAAGCTCCTCTGTTCAGAAAATACAACCTGTGCTTTAAACTTTTAATCAATCAAAAGCTTCAGATTCAAAGCAGAACTTACCACAATCATGTGGACATGTTTTGTTTTGTTTTGTTTATATTGCAGTTTATAAATTGCACAACTATTTACTATTTCAAGTCACTTGTGTCATTAATTGAATGTTAACCCAGGTGGCACTAGTAAATGATGAAAATGTCAAAGAAGCAAAATGAATATAGGCTTGTTGAAAATGAACATAATAACATAATAAATATCTATGCTAATGACTTCTGTGTAAGAAATATGCATTGCTAAATGATAAGCCCGACACATGGGGCCAGGAATGTAGTTACCTGACTGATAAAACAGTATTTTCACATTTAAGTCAGGACCATATTTCCTTAACATCTGCTCTGGTAAGAAAATGACAGTGGTGACAAATCTATTTTTTGCTCTTTGGAAAATTTCCACCATGTGGGATGCTACTTAAGCTGAATGTAAGGATAAAGGGGACTGAGGAATTGATTGATCTTACCTGTGCACACACCCAAATTGAAGGGATTCTGTTGCTGGGAGCTTTTGTAAACTCTCTGTCAGAAAATTAATTATTTTCTTGCACGATTTGTAAGTTTGTCTTCACTGAAGAAAGATTAGATTAGATTGAATAGACTCTATTTGTTCTTATTTGTTTAAATTAGAAGCATTATGTGACTTGCCCTGAAAAACCAGCTGCTGAAATTGCTCTGATAACAGCCTGGTTTAGTTCAGGCCCAAGATGCCAAGGGCAGCTCTGCAAAAGCCTTTCTGAATGCAGAGAACCAAGGCAGCAGTAGAGCAGTTCTGTGGTGCTGATACAGAGGTTTAGATCAGTGCCCACCCCAATGCCCACAAAGGCAGGGAGAGCACAGCAGTGCCATCCTGTGTGGGCTGTGCAGGCACCAGGACAGCAGAGCATCCTCCTGGCCATGGGCAGCACAGCTCTGCTGGCCAGGGGCACTGTGGGGGCCTGGCTCCAGCATGAGCCTGGGAAAGAGAGGGAGTGTTTGAATTTATACAAATGCAGTGCATCAAACACTTATTTTTTTCCACTCCCAAATGCTGTTTTCCAGAAGCACTACTCTGTTCGTGACATGATGTAAGCCAGACCTGTCAAAAAAAATCCTTAAGATACCCTGAACCCCAACAAACACTCAATGTTTATCAGACTTTGGCAGAACTCCTGTTTAGCTCATCCCTTTTGCTAGCTGGAGCTACACGGATGTCCAGCAAGAGAAGGGATAGGTGATAGAGGTGGAAAAAGGAGTACATGGTCTGAAAATGTGCTTTGGAAGTAGGATGTTACCTGGCATCTGTGTGTGATTCCATATGCCCTAAGAATGTCACACATTCTGTCAATACAGCAGCAGGGTGAGGGGACAGATGGAGAAACCCCAGCTCCTTGATCCTGCTCTCAAACAGAAATGTTTTTACTGACACCAAGTCCAGACAGAGTGATGGAGTAGATAAGCAAACCCAAAATAACAAACCAACAACTTCTAGCAGACTTCTGAACATGTCTGTGTTGTTTACAGTGCCAGAAGAGAACGAGAGAGAGGTACCTTGGAGGCGTGTCTGCAAAGGTCGTGGCTCAGTGTCATTTCAGCCCCATGTCTTATGCTCTACAAAACCTCTAACTTCAAAATAAAAGAGAAGCAAGAGATCCATGGGTCTCACATCCATTTTGCTCATTATGGAACATCAGTCTAGGCAGTGTCCAAAATGAAATATCCATTGAGAGAAAGAAATTTCTAATTATACTTCAATGGATATGGACTACTAGATCTGTGTGTAACCTTGGTGCTGGAACTTCCTGATTTTTACGTGGAAATTCATAATATGAACAATCTTAAAGGAATAGCTGTAAACAAGAATTACCACACCACTTATTTTTTGTAATTTTTATTATGAAAGACTTCAATGTCTTTCCTCATAAGTGTTTAGTACCACATGTTTAGTGCAAACTAGTTTGGCAGTGCTGATCTATAGTGTGTAAGTGAGCTGCCCGCATGCTGATGTTATCTTTGTTTCTATTGTAAGGTAGTACAGCTGTGACTCATGTTTCTGCATAAATATTTAAATCATGATTTCAACATTTTCATTTTGACAATACTGTGCCAAATGCTGCTGTGATAGTTTCAACAGATTTTGAAAAGCAAGTGGGAATAACTGATTGGCTTTCTTTAACAAAGCTGTAATGAACGCTTCCAACAATTTCAGATTTATCAAGGATATTCTGTAAACCAGTGTCAAAGTACTATAATGACCTTTAACCATCCTGTTGCTTGTTATATTGATCTACTATTGTGTTACACTGTGTTCTGAACTGCTAAAATTCAGGTATGTTTTTTCTACCTTTCCTAAGTGCTTACCTCACACACTGAATAATAAA